TACCAATCGAAAGCAGGCCCGCGAAGGGTGCTAACGAATGACCGCACCATCAAGGGCTCGTTGCCAGAAATCGTGCCCAAGTGCAGGCCCGCGAAGGGTGCTAACGAATGACCGCACCATCAAGGGCTCGTTGCCAGAAATCGTGCCCAAGTGGGACTTAAAGTAGATTAGATGCTGAGTGGGCGAGCCCTTCCCGTCGAACGGCGTGAAGTTGATCAGGTTAAACTTCGCCAGATACGGGATCGAATCCCACTCTTTCGGGTAAGGACACGGAATGTCGGTCTTCTTTACCTCTTGAGCAGACATTAAAGCGTTAATTTTGCTCTCGAGGTCCTTCATTTTTTCGTCCTCATCTATATCCTATTTTGGATAATTTTCAAGAGGAATTCTGCGGCCACCCCCAGTGTTATTATCTTTGGCGGAACCACCCCCAACGTTGTTATCTGTAGGGGGTGTATTTGAACCACACCCAGTATTTTTGGGAGGTACATCGGCCATGATGATTTCGTCCACTTCTGGATCGCTGTCAATTGCGGTATTCTGGGTGCGACGGCTGGATTCAACTCTGACTTGATTGGACAGAACCCGAATTTGTTGATCATGCTCTTCCCTCATTCGCATCATGGCCATTTCCATTTCAAACTTGAAGTTCTCTTTTTGTTTGGCCAAGGCATCCTCGACCATTTTAGTGACCTCTTCTGTGCTAATCATCAACACTTCGCGGGATTGACCTAGGCTAGATACCGTTTTGTCAGAAGCGACTGCAGAGTTAGCATCTGATACTTCATCATCCGAGGATAATCCTTGATTCATCCTCTGATAGTCCCTTTGTCTAACGGTTCCTGATCGTAATCGAGTTATACGTTGGGATATGTCCGAAAGATGACGAGGATTGATGTTTCGCGTTGACTCCCCCATATCAACCATATTAACTGCGACTTCTGGAAGTTCATCATCTTGCGCAGTTGGACTTTTTCTACAAAAACACATTGGCTTGATCCTGGGCGTTCTGGGGAAGATCCTTTCAAATACTGAGATCCTTTGTGGAGTGGTCTTGGGGAAGCTACACGCTGATAATACTGCCCTGATAATTTTAGTACACGGACAATGAGAGTCCGTTTCTCGGGTACCTTTCTTTCGAGATTTGTTCATACCCCCAGCCCGATAGTACAACTCATCGGCATGATTGCCGGAGCAACATATCGTGTGCTGGCATGACTCCTCAGCTATAACGTCGTCGTCTGACGAACATGTTTCCTTCTGAGGATTCGTCGTCTTGTCAGTGCTCTCAAGAGTCACACGTTTTGAGCACGCTTTCGTGAGCGTGAGACCTCAACGGGCTCTTGGATAATGACTCGCAGTCCGAGGCGGTCAGTTATAGGAGCTTTCCCATTATAGGAAGGCTTTAATTTGTTGGAAGGGTGAGTGCGACCCCCAACTCGATGAGTTGCTCGGGGTTCATTCATCATGCCCAAGCGTTTTTTGACTGGAGCTTTGCCTTGATCCTCGTGCAAAAGACCCAGGCATTCCACTATCACTTTCCTGCCTCTGGATATGTCTACATTGTCGCGGAGCTTCACCGGAGGTGTGGGATTAAAAGGAGCGAGATCTGAACTTGACGAAAGCTGGGAACCAGCTTTGGATCTGGAATCGACCGAGAGACACGACTGATGTCTTTTATCGGGTAGGGGCGCTGACTTAGCCTTCGACACCCAAACCTGCTTAGATCTTGGTGATTTCTTGATCACCTCTTCCCGCTGCAATTCTCGTGCCTTCCGTACAAGAATCCTCGTCTGCGCTAACAGTGTGCGGCGCTTATGGATGCTCTCCTCAAGAGTTGAACGGGTTCGTTTGACACGAACTCATTCGTTAGTAGGTGGTTGGGAGGAGGTTCCCAAAGCTTGTTGCTGGAACACTTTGCGCCTTCTGAGTTTCAGATCCGCATCATAGCAGATCCTGTCAATAGGCTTCAAAGCCTTGGCAAATTGACGCGCGAGACATTGACGGCGCCTTTGACGAGCCCTCTTCGTCAACACTGGTGCACTTTCAACGGGCAACTCCTTGACTTTCGAGGGGTTGTCACGAACGTTGGATCTGGTTTCTCTGGAAGCCGGAGAGGAATCTTCCACTGCATTCGGGTTCAGATCATCAGCATTGGTTTTTGGATCTAAAGTCATGTTTTTCGCTGCAGTGGTTTTCCTGCGTTTGCAAGAAGAAGATCCGGAGGAGGAGGAAATATATTCCTCGAATTTCTGCTGGTCGAATTCGTATTCGACCTCTTCGAGCACCGGGATCTTGATCGTCGGCTGTGGCACGACAGCTTCAGCAGCGAGGCTGTTGGCTCCCACTGTGGTCGCCAGTTTGTTTGCGGTGAAAATTGATTGTTTCATTGTGGGATTCATTACAAACTTCAGACGTTTACAACGAATATAAAAATCAGTCTTTTTATAAGACTTTTACACAATGAAAACAAAAATAAATCACAATTCTATTCAAACAAACGCAATGGGTGTTTATCGCCCGCTGCTTGAGTAGGATCTTGGCCTGTGACGGGGACGCGTTAGTCCGTGGACCACCGAACGATCAATATTTGGACAGAGTTTCGTCTATCCGCGAAGGGATCGAGAAACCGTAGCTCTTATCTCGGCGAAGCGAGATAATCACTCTTCTTAAGATTACCGCAACGGGATAATCCTAAGGAACGAACCGGGCTGCATCCTCTCTGAAATTCATGCACTTTGGTCTTCAATCCGGCAGGGCTTCGCCGAGGCACGAGAATTCCAGATCTGAAAAAATGAGGCTCTGAGGCTTGTATTTATAGGCACGGGGGAAATTCGGGCTGGAGACACCCTTGGGTGTCTCAACTTAGGCCGAGACACCTTGGGGTGTCTCGTTTGGGCCGAGACACCTCGGGGTGTCTCAACTCAGGCTGAGACGCCGCTTTTTGCATATTCGTCCGTTTTCGTCGTAACTTCTTTGTCCGAACTCGGATTTAAGCGATTCAAAGTGCGTTGGAAAGCTGACGAGGAGTTCTATAAGCTCCAATGATTAGATCATCTGTGGAATAAATGAGTCACGAAGGGTATTTCGCCGTTTGTGAACGACACGAGGTTCCCGATTAGTTCGTGTCTTTGTTATTCTGAAATTCTGTAGTTCGTCGATTCACTTCAAGCGTTCACCGACATCAATCAAGCTTATGTGAATCGGATAGTTACGTTCATCGTCTTTTCTTAGCGCTGAGCTGTTCGTGGAGACCTACAGGAAATTTTCGATGCCTACACCCCTAAGCAAATGACCAAAATAACCTCACAAAATAGCCGTTTTTTACCGTTTTTGGGGGACGAAGAACGGTGAATAGACCGTGTTAATTGGCCGTTTTATGCCCGCCCGATCCATGTTGGCCACAACGGTCACCTTGCTCGTCGGGCGTTGTGGCCGGCCGACGCCGCCGGACCCGGGCTAAGGCCCGGCCCAGAGTTGTTTGGCGCCCGGCGGCCGGCCCCGCGCGCCTGTGCTGCCGGGTGAGGCCGGGCCAGGCCTAGTCGGGTGCCGGCATGAAGGCAGCCCGGCGCCGGGCACGGCGGAAGCCACCAGCGCACGGATTTGGGAGCAGAAGGCCGGGCCGTGGCCCTGGCCAGCGGGCTTTTTGGACAGACCTAAATAAAGATATGTATATAGCCCAACAGTAACAGCTAGGGGTGCCAAACCGTATCCGTATCCGTGTCCGTTAGGATACGGATATGGTAACTCAAATCTATAACCGATAGGATATGGTTACAAATATGGTTTTGTAGTGAAATATCTGCATCTGTATCCGAAAATATCCGAATACATATTGGTTATACTCTTACGATAGTTTCAATTATTAGATTATGGATTTATGGTTAATTTTGATGATCAAGATGTCTAATCTTAGCTTTTTAATCATAATGAACATATTAACGAACTCTTTTTGTATCATATGTCTATATTTTTTTGAATACTATCTAGTTTTCTCATATCCTTTTTGTATCCGCGTGCATATTCGTTTATATATCTGCATCTATATCCGTAACCGTATCCGATTTTGGTGGATATGGATATGAATTTTTCTTACCGTTGTATATCTGTATCCGTATCCGAGATGGGTAAGCGGATATGGATATGATACGTGTCATATCCGAGCCGTATCCGCTCTGTTAACACCCCTAGTAACAGCACATCAATACTGCTAGCAGTGTAATCGTTAGTATCTATCAGTACACTAATTACATTACAACTATATTAGATAATAGGGTTAATTGCAAATAGACTCTATGTAGTATCGCTCAATTGTAAAGAGATCTCATATAATTCTATTTGTTATGAATAGATCGCCCTCTTTGTTCTGCCTATTAGGAATAGACCCATTGAGTGAACTCTTCTAATTTCGACTCTTAAAATAGTTAAAAATATTTGAGGAGGCGGGTAGACCCCTACACTTTTATTGGTGACAATAGACACCTAATTGCTAAAAAAAAATTATGTTTAAAAAAGTTGAAAAAAATTCACTAAAAAGATATATTCGCACTTGGGTTAAGACTATAGGGAATCTATTTGCAGCAAGTAGAACTACAGGGTGTCCATTCGTAACAAATGGAACCACGTGTGTTCTCTTTGCACTTGGGTGATACTATAGCAGTTATAACTAAAAATGATATGCACATCAAGATCGGTAACTTAACAGGCATCTTAATTCTTTTTTCTATATCATTTCCCGTAGAGAGTTCTGTATTTTAAAAAAATAAAAAAAAAATATCTTCAAGCAACCCTTGCAAGAAGGCCGTCAGCGTCGCTATCTTTATCCCCTCACTCCCATAAAAAAAACCGACTAATCCCAAGAAACCATCAAAGTCCTAAAAATCAACGTGCCAAAATGTTCTATTCGACGTCACCCCTGACTCATCAGCAACACACTCGAAAGACTTTGCTTATATAAACCCTTTCCAACCCACAAAAAATTCTCATCTCCCACATTCATTCATAAGCTCAACTCATGGGCTCTTGTTTCTCTTCGGCCTCCTCAAACTCCACACCCACAGTCAAAATCGTCGCCCTCGATGGCTCTCTGAACGAACTCTCCGTGCCCGTGCCCGTGCCCGTGTCATTTGTTCTCCCTTCACCTCAATCCTCTGTTCTCTGTGACTCTGATAGTCTAAACTTTGGTACGAATATTGTAGCTATGAATCCAAAATCTATGCTAGAACTGGATCATTTGTATTTCGTGTTGCCCGCCGAGAAGCTGGGTTACCCATTATCGGGGCAAGATATGGTGGCCGTTAAGGCTAGCACGGCGCTTGCCCGTGCTTCGGAGAAAAGCGGCCGGAGACGGAGGATGAAGATCTTGCCGATTGAGGAAATGGGGGGAGATGGAGACGTTGATGGTGTCGAGAGAATATTTGATGAGTTCAGGGTCAGTAAAGTTGGGAAAGAGGGAGGGAATAGGTCTCTGATGCCTGGGGTTATAAGGAATAGGATGAAGTTGACTACAATTGATGAGTGATGAGTAGAATTTTTTTTTAATTTACTTATTTAACATTTTTTTGTTTTTGTTTATTTTGTCTGTAAGTTTGGATTTTACAGAGAAAATGAGACTGTAAATACTCATAATTTTGTTGGTTATGAAATTGAATTATGGTTTTAATTAGCAGAACTCATTAGGATGACCATTGTGATCAATATTGATTAGTATATGTTACGACATGGTCTCAAACTGGCCATTGATTTGCGCTTTATGCATGTAGACCTACAAAAACTTTTATCGCCATGTGAAAATTGCTGGATTATCGAATTGTTTCTTACTTAGGTCCCGTTTGGTTGCAAAAGAAAAAGCATGAAAGCTTGACAAAAGTCAGGCTTTTGTCAGGCTTTCAGCCTTGTTATTATGCAACCAAACGGGGCCTTAGTGTGTAATGCATGCATCGCGTACATTGAAAATCTACTTATCATTTAATGAAATCACTGTAACGGTTATTACTGCAGTTATAATTTATATCAACTTCATTATAATTACAACAGTGACTGCACTTGAAAGTAGAAGAAGGAAAAGGGAGACAAAATATTAAGGAGTTTACTGATGAGTGGAAAGAGTTTGGATGTACTGTACTTTTTTTTTTTTTGAAGAGAAAAGGATGGAGTTTCAATAGAGGACGTACTGTACCTTTTCTAGTCACCTAGCGTAGAACAAAGAGAGGTTTGTTTTCAGGGTCCTTTTGACCTAAGTTGGTGCGTACCAAGTCTAGATAGTGGGATTATCTTATCTTAATAGCAAAAAGGGCAGCTCAATATTAAAATGAAAAGGGTTTGAGAAACTTGAAGAGAAAGAAAACGAAAAGGAGGGAGAAATACATTCATAAATTTCTAACACCTAGTTCTACATAACTTTGCAAATAAACTATAATTTTATTCCAATCAAAGTTTGAGATTTTCTCAATGATCGTTTTAAATAACGTCCCAAACTAAACACTGATTATCTATCTATTTTCTTGCGATAAAAAAAAAAATCTGCCTATTTTCTTTATTAGTCAATTTTCAGTTTGTTAAAAAGTTAAGACAACGGCTTGGAAGGGTAAACGATGAAATTTGATAATCTTAACCGTAAGCCTGAGTATTAAAGTGACTTTAGTAGGTGGATTTAGCATAAGATGTGATATAACAACAACTTTTCTCAGTCATGGTAAGGAAAAAACATCATATTATTTTAGATTGTGTTAGTTAAGACCTAGTATGACCCGTATATAATATCCCATAACTTTTTCATGCATGTTTTATAACATTCCCACAAAAGTATCTAGTGATTCTGATTTATCATAGGAGTTATGTAATGATGAGTTCCTCCCTTTTATTAACATGCAAATCTCCAAGGACACAATAATCCGTATCCATGTCTCCTTTGGAAAAAGCAAGCATGATGTTCTCAACGGCGCACCTATTTGTTTTTTTCAAAACACACGAAGATTTAATAGGGACAGTTTGTGATTTCATCTACCTCTTTAATGTTGAGAACACACGGCTCACATGTGGGCCGGTCTAAAGGGATCCGGATCCAATAATCTAAAAAATGTCCTTCTTAACCATTACCCTAATAAGGACAATGGTCAGCAATACTCATCTAAAATAATAAGAAAACATCCGGTAAGAACGGTTCATGCCACTAAATGTACACCCAAAAGATGTTAACCTTTGAATATGTACCAATCAAGAAATTCATCAACGATCAAATGACTGATATTCAATTAATGTACATTTAATGCTATGATCTCGGGTGTAACATATACTTTTTCCCTAAAATGATGTCTCTAATGCATCATTAATAGCGTCAAACACGGGTATTTAAGTACTTTCTTGCTTCTCCCGGTTGCAACGTCTGCGCCTACGCCTACAGAGGCCCACAAACAGCATTATTGTTCATCCAGAAACGCAACGAAAAGGGACCATTAACCTTAACAAAGCGTGTAGAAATAGATGTGAACCAATCTTAGCCACCTCAATGATCTCATTCCGTGTGCGGACCGGTCGACGTATTGGCTTCATACCCTCACCGAGTCACAATCACCGGAAATCGTGGAAGAAGTGATAAAATAGCCAAACCAAATTGGAACTTAATCACCGTGTAGAAGTCACCGTATACCGTCACGTCTTTGCCCCCCTTACTCGAATACGGAGTGATCATGGTCCTATTTTAAACAAAACTGGTTTTGTTTTGATGAAACAAAAAAAAGGGAGTAGTCCAAAACAAAATGCATTTGAAGACGAAATTTGACTTTAGAATAACTGCGACCGAATCTTATTAAAGCCCTTTTGACTCACAAACTTTTTCAGCTCAGTATTTATTTATCATCACAATTTATGGGGTTTTGCTTCTCTTCAATCTCCCCAAAAGCAACGTTTACCATCAAAATCATCGCCCTAGATGGTTTGCTCGTGCGTGTTGTTGTGCTCTGATACCACTTGTTCTGCGCAGAAGCCACCGAACGTTGTGCTTCGAGAAACCAAATCAAACGCCGAGAGAGAAAGCAAAACAATTCAAAATAACGGCACAAACACAAACACACCAATTTTACGTGGTTCGGAAAGTTACCTACGTCCACGGGGTAAGAAGGGGATGAGGTTTTTACTAATAGAGAAGAAGAGTACAAACTGAGATTTCAAATCACTCAAACTCACCAATTAATCTCATGGCCGTTAAGGCTAGCACGGCGCTTGCCCGTGCTTCGGAGAAAAGCGGCCGGAGACGGAGGATGAAGATCTTGCCGATTGAGGAAATGGGGGGAGATGGAGACGTTGATGGTGTCGAGAGAATATTTGATGAGTTCAGGGTCAGTAAAGTTGGGAAAGAGGGAGGGAATAGGTCTCTGATGCCTGGGGTTATAAGGAATAGGATGAAGTTGACTACAATTGATGAGTGATGAGTAGAATTTTTTTTTAATTTACTTATTTAACATTTTTTTGTTTTTGTTTATTTTGTCTGTAAGTTTGGATTTTACAGAGAAAATGAGACTGTAAATACTCATAATTTTGTTGGTTATGAAATTGAATTATGGTTTTAATTAGCAGAACTCATTAGGATGACCATTGTGATCAATATTGATTAGTATATGTTACGACATGGTCTCAAACTGGCCATTGATTTGCGCTTTATGCATGTAGACCTACAAAAACTTTTATCGCCATGTGAAAATTGCTGGATTATCGAATTGTTTCTTACTTAGGTCCCGTTTGGTTGCAAAAGAAAAAGCATGAAAGCTTGACAAAAGTCAGGCTTTTGTCAGGCTTTCAGCCTTGTTATTATGCAACCAAACGGGGCCTTAGTGTGTAATGCATGCATCGCGTACATTGAAAATCTACTTATCATTTAATGAAATCACTGTAACGGTTATTACTGCAGTTATAATTTATATCAACTTCATTATAATTACAACAGTGACTGCACTTGAAAGTAGAAGAAGGAAAAGGGAGACAAAATATTAAGGAGTTTACTGATGAGTGGAAAGAGTTTGGATGTACTGTACTTTTTTTTTTTTTGAAGAGAAAAGGATGGAGTTTCAATAGAGGACGTACTGTACCTTTTCTAGTCACCTAGCGTAGAACAAAGAGAGGTTTGTTTTCAGGGTCCTTTTGACCTAAGTTGGTGCGTACCAAGTCTAGATAGTGGGATTATCTTATCTTAATAGCAAAAAGGGCAGCTCAATATTAAAATGAAAAGGGTTTGAGAAACTTGAAGAGAAAGAAAACGAAAAGGAGGGAGAAATACATTCATAAATTTCTAACACCTAGTTCTACATAACTTTGCAAATAAACTATAATTTTATTCCAATCAAAGTTTGAGATTTTCTCAATGATCGTTTTAAATAACGTCCCAAACTAAACACTGATTATCTATCTATTTTCTTGCGATAAAAAAAAAAATCTGCCTATTTTCTTTATTAGTCAATTTTCAGTTTGTTAAAAAGTTAAGACAACGGCTTGGAAGGGTAAACGATGAAATTTGATAATCTTAACCGTAAGCCTGAGTATTAAAGTGACTTTAGTAGGTGGATTTAGCATAAGATGTGATATAACAACAACTTTTCTCAGTCATGGTAAGGAAAAAACATCATATTATTTTAGATTGTGTTAGTTAAGACCTAGTATGACCCGTATATAATATCCCATAACTTTTTCATGCATGTTTTATAACATTCCCACAAAAGTATCTAGTGATTCTGATTTATCATAGGAGTTATGTAATGATGAGTTCCTCCCTTTTATTAACATGCAAATCTCCAAGGACACAATAATCCGTATCCATGTCTCCTTTGGAAAAAGCAAGCATGATGTTCTCAACGGCGCACCTATTTGTTTTTTTCAAAACACACGAAGATTTAATAGGGACAGTTTGTGATTTCATCTACCTCTTTAATGTTGAGAACACACGGCTCACATGTGGGCCGGTCTAAAGGGATCCGGATCCAATAATCTAAAAAATGTCCTTCTTAACCATTACCCTAATAAGGACAATGGTCAGCAATACTCATCTAAAATAATAAGAAAACATCCGGTAAGAACGGTTCATGCCACTAAATGTACACCCAAAAGATGTTAACCTTTGAATATGTACCAATCAAGAAATTCATCAACGATCAAATGACTGATATTCAATTAATGTACATTTAATGCTATGATCTCGGGTGTAACATATACTTTTTCCCTAAAATGATGTCTCTAATGCATCATTAATAGCGTCAAACACGGGTATTTAAGTACTTTCTTGCTTCTCCCGGTTGCAACGTCTGCGCCTACGCCTACAGAGGCCCACAAACAGCATTATTGTTCATCCAGAAACGCAACGAAAAGGGACCATTAACCTTAACAAAGCGTGTAGAAATAGATGTGAACCAATCTTAGCCACCTCAATGATCTCATTCCGTGTGCGGACCGGTCGACGTATTGGCTTCATACCCTCACCGAGTCACAATCACCGGAAATCGTGGAAGAAGTGATAAAATAGCCAAACCAAATTGGAACTTAATCACCGTGTAGAAGTCACCGTATACCGTCACGTCTTTGCCCCCCTTACTCGAATACGGAG